CGGCATTTCGCGAGGGAGAGTCGGGCCGACCCCAGCGATGACACCACCCCAGATCCTCAGGTAGGTGACGCCATGGGCGTCCGTCCAACTCCGTCTGCTGATGCCCCTGTTGCCTCGCCTCTCCCCTCCTTTGCTCGTCCGTCTTCCCTTTGGCTCAAAAACCAGCGCCAGGTTGCTTGGGTAACACCGTCTCTGGATGATGTTTGGCCTGCGGTTCGCTCGTCTCCGGCCTTCGCGGTGGGTGGACCCCACATCCTGGCGATCAGTGGCAAGTTCGCTGCTTGGGTTGAGATCGTGGAGCGGAGCCGCAGCGAGCACCATGGAGTCACAGCGCCTGCGATCTCGAGGGCGGCAGGACCGCGCCAGGAAGAGGGAGCAGTCCTCGCTGCCGCCCACATCCGAGATCAAACCCTTCGTGGTGTGCATGCTTGGCGGCGGGGTCGCGCTCGCGCTATTGTTCAGCGCGTCGAACGGCGTCGCCGACGCAACAGCGGCGCCGTGCAGGTACAGCAGCTGGCAGAGGACGCCCGGCGGCTGGCTGCTGCTCTGCCCGAAGGGGTGCACACCATTTTTCCTATCGGCTGTGGCTCTTGGCAGGGCTGGCTGACTTCACTTCGGCAGCTCGAGGTTCTAGACTCCCAGGCCCTTGGAGTTGCCGCCAGAGTTGTAGATGAGGCTGCGCGGCGAGGCCGCGCTCGGGCCACCAGTCTGTCTTTGAAAGAACTTCAGGAGTGGATCGCAGCCCAGGGTGTCGTGGGAGCGGCTCATAAGAGTATCCGGCAGGAGCCTTTGCCGTCGGGCGAACTCCATTATCACGGGGGCTGTGCAGCGCACCCGATCGAGATCGTGGATCGGAAGGTCGTTCTCTGGCACAAGTTGTGGCAGTCCAGAGATTTGACATATTCAGTGTTTCAGGACATCATGGCTGGCGCCAGACAGCTGGGTGAGATCGGGCAGCTCGTTCCCCTCACTGTAGCAGACCTCCGCCAGGCCCTGTGTCGCATGAAGGCCCGCGCTGGCCTCGGAGCGGACCAGCTCTCGCCAGTTGACCTGGAACGTCTCCGAGACGCGGGCAGGGAGGATCTTTGCCAGCTTTTTCTTATGGCGGAGCAAGGCATGTCGTGGCCTTGGCAACTTCCCATCGTGATGGGTCGCCTCCTCGCCAAGAAGGGAGGGGGCGACCGCGCCATAGGCCGGAACGCCATGATTTGCAGAGTCTGGGGCATGGCCAGAGACGGGCAGATGCGGCAATGGACCGTTGACATAGCCCCGCGTTGGGATGCTGCAGTCGCTGGCAACAACGATATGAGGGAAGCCTTCCTGCGATCTCTCAATTCTGAAGTACATTCTCGGATGGGCGCTGCTGCTCATGGCGAGGCGCTGCTGGGAGTTGTTTCGTTCTACGATGGTATCGTGTTCGAGGCGCTGGCAGATGCGGCGGCGCCGCTGAGCTTCCCTCCAGTGATTCTTTTCCTGGAGATGCAGATCTGTGCGGCCCCTCGCCTGGCCCCCCAGTTTCAGTCTTTCTCGCTGCCCTTCCAGCCCACGCGGAGCGTTGTTCAGGGCTTCCAGAGCGGCACCCGCTTCGGCCGTTGCCTTACCTATTTTGTTGTCGAACGTTTGTGCACATCGCATTTTTGCATGTCAGGACGGATTTGGATCGTGGTTGGGCGCAGAAGGCAGTGGGCTCGCGTAAGCATGTGCAGGGTGCTCTCGTTGCAGGCGTCGCGGACACGGCCGCCGAGTTTGCGAAGGTGTCTCTCGGCATTGCGGGCAAGAGTGTCATTGCATGTTCGTCTCACGCCGATGCGAATATTATAAGCAAACTGCTGAGGAGGAGAGGCATCCACCTCGCGGCCGAGCTGCAGGCTGCCTACCTCGGCGTCGACATGGGGACAGGACGGCGTGCAGCAGGTGCCGCAGTACGCAAGCGGGCTGATTAGGCGAGGGCGCAGCATGGGCGTCCACGCCGTTTCGCCGCAGCTTCCAGACGCTTCTGGGTTACAGCTCGAGTGGAACTTGCAGGGCCGCAAGCAGTAGCTTCCTACGGGCACCAGGTTCACGGCATGTTCGGCAGCGCGATTGTGCACCAGCGACGGCGACTGGCAGCGGCCTCAGGCTCGGTTCGACGTGGACGATGTCCCACCACCTTGATTTGCATTCGGGCCGCACAGTCAGACTCTGGCACTCTCATCCCGCGTCGGCGTCTAGCCCAACATGGCTGCATATCTGGGTCACCGAGCCCAAGAACCGCCCCAGTGTGTACCGCGTTTGGTCGTCGGTGGTTCAGCATATCAAGAGTGTCCCAGAAGTCCAGAGGTCTAGATGCATTCGGGGTCATATTTCTACTGCGGTGGCTTGCCCACTGCAGGCGGGCTGGGATTCCCGGGCTCCTTCCGAACGGGTCTTGACGAATGATTGTGGACAGCATGCCTGGCGCGTCGAAGACGAGGCATTATGTTCGCTTGGTCAGGCTGATGACTTACTCCGTGAGTTTGAGGGGTGTCTCGAGCTGTGGCAGTGGCGTACTGTTGCTGAGCTGCACTGTAGATCAGGACCGGAGAATGGAGCGGATACCCTTAGTCTTCGGAAGCTCATTCGTGATTTGCAGTACGTTGGGAAAAGGGCGGCAGTTGTCTGAGTTGATGCTCAGTGTTACAGGTGCTGGAGTTCGGACTAAAGCGCGCAAGCGTACTCATCATTGTACTTCGGACGTGTGTGATCGATGCTCGGCGGCTGCTGAATCGGATTTCCATCGGTACTGGCTGTGCCCGCGCAACACGGGGAACCGCGCCTTAACGGAGCCCGACCAGTTCGCAGCAGAGGCCATGGCAGGCCAAGAGATGCATGCATGCTTCTGGAGCCGTGACATCATCCCTGCGCCACGGGCGCGGGTGACTGAGGCTGCGGCCGAGGAGCTGTGGCGAGGCGGCAACTTGTGCGGCGGCGGAGTGGGGCCAGGCTGCTTGGGACATGGCACGCCCGAGGCCCCCTGGCACGCTTTTGGAGATGCTTCAGGAGGCAGTGATGCGCGCGACCCCAGGTTGCGACGCGTCGGGCTGGCTTTGTATGGGCTCACCGCCTTCGATCCAGTTCATGCGGGGCCATGCTTGTTCGGGCCGCTCATCGGTGGGGCCCAGACTGTCGCCCAGGGCGAGTTGGCAGCGCTGTAACTCGCTATTCGGTGTCCCACTGGATCCATGATCTTCGTCGCGGACTGCGAGGAGGTCTGTCGTGGATGGTGGGCGAGATTGCGCGAGAAGCCGCCTGGGCAATTGTCTGGAATCTGGCGCCAGATAGGACGACACCTTCAGTATCGGCCAGCCACGGATATCGCCATGCTGCAGATCCCGCCCCACCTCGAGGCCGAAGAGGTGGCGCGCCGTCAGCATCCGAGCTGGATGGTGCAGGGAAATGAGGCAGTGGATCGGCTAGCGCAGCAGGCAGCTGAGGACCACCGACTGCCAGAGGTGGAGAGGCACCGCGTGGCCGCCACCGAGCAGAAGGCGCTGCTGGCGCGGAGGCGGCTGCTGCGGTCGGCGCTGCGCTGCATCCAGCCGGAGCGGGCCCAGGCCGCGGGGGCGGCGCAGGAGCGACGGGCGGCGCGGCATGCGCCCCTAGAGGCCGAGGCGCCTTCGGCCGCTCCTGCTCTTCCTCCTCCTCCTCCCCCTCCTGCCCCCTCGGTGGTGGCACGCTTCGCGACAGCCCACACTCTTGACGATGAGGGGAGGAGTTGTCTGAGGTGTAAGGGGTCTGCCAGGAAAGCTTGTCGAGTGGAATGGTTAAAAAGTGAGCGCGCCCCTCTCATAGCTGTAGATGGTAGGGTGTCTCGGGTCCGTCGGGGGTGCCATTTTCATATCGCTGGAGGTTGCGCCCACCCCTCTCACGCTCTAATGTGTCATCATAACCTTAGTATATGGGTATGCAGTCTTTGCGGCTACTTCGGCCAGACCCAGCTCAGGGGTCTCGGTGGTCCATGCAGTTTTCCCATTTCTAAAGCGCGTCGTGAATATCTCGATCGGATGGGTCGCGACCTGTTCCCCAAAGTCTTGCTGGGCCTCGAGCTGGGTCCCGAGTAGAGAGCTCAATTTTCGCTACGCGAAGGCTGTAATCTCTGGAATTCCTCTTCTCCTCCTCCTCCTTTCCTCCTCCTCCGCCTCCTCCTCCTCCTCCTCAATGCGTCGGGGTTGCGGAAAACACACACACACATACACATACACACACACAACGTGTGGGGTTTGTGCCCAGAGGTGGCCGATGTCAAGTCATGGATTAGTTGTGTTTTTTCCGGTCAAAGTCAGCGGGGCCAGAATGGGTCGGCTCTGCCGCTGGAAGCTGGCGGAGGCTCGGCGGAAGCCGTCTGCAGCAAAAGATGGCCAACCCAAAGGATATGTCAACGTTTTGAAGTGTTCATGCTTTTCAGAGCTGGACAGACAAATTCAGGCTGCAGTGAAGTGCGCTTGTGCTCAGCAGCAAGACTTAGGACCGATGCCTGGCTCCCCCGGCCAAGTGCCCTGGCTGGCCAAGATTTCCTGCAACTTGTTGGCAGAGCTCCCAGTTGATTCTAGGTCGCTCCCTGCGGCGTTGCTCCACGAGGCAGGGATGGGCCCTGAGATCCGACTCTGCAAAACAAAGGCAACACCTCAGAAAGTCGCGACCGGAACCCTGGACCCCAACATATTGCAAAATCATTTTAGACGGATTGATATGTGAGGGTCCAGGGGCCCGAAATGGAACGAAATTGCTTGGTGTGAAAACGTTGCAACGCCAGGATCGGAGGGGGGGGGGTCCCTCCACGCTGCCTCGCGCTGGCCCCCTGCGTGCTGCGAGAGCCTCGGACCTGCACGCTGCGCCTCCCAGGCACGAGCAGCGCGGCCGCTGCCGCCTCACGTGAGCTCCAGCCCTGCCCCAGCGCCACTCCGCGCGCCGCCCGGCCTCGCCAAGCGCCGTCGCGGGGCGCGGTGCATCGCCGCCCTGTTGAAACAAAGAGCGGCGCTCAGACGTACCTGCCAGAGCACCAGCGGCGTCGTCACATTCTCAGCCAGCGGGACAGGGAGGGCCCCGACAAGAAGGACCCCCCAAGGGGCAATCTAGTTTTTTGTATCCGCGGTCGCGGGGCCACGAGCCCTCCGAGGAGGGTCTCCGCGGCCCGCGTGTCCTCCACCCCCTCCTCCTCCTCCTCCTCCTCCTCCTCCTCCTCCTCCTCCTCCTCCTCCTCCTCCTCCTCCTCCTCCTCCATCTCCTCCTCCATCTCCTCCTCCTCCTCCTCCTCCTCCTCCTCCATCTCCTCCTCCATCTCCTCCTCCACCCCCTTCCCCTCCTCCTCCTCCTCCTCCTCCTCCTCCTCCTCCTCCTCCTCCTCCTCCTCCTCCTCCTCCTCCTCCTCCTCCTCCTCCTCCTCCTCCTCCTCCTCCTCCTCCTCCTCCTCCTCCTCCTCCTCCCCCTCCTGCTCCTCCTCCTCCTCCTCCTCCTCCTCCTCCTCCTCGGGTCGCCTACGGCCCCGGGGGAAACCGTGCAACCCCACCGTCGGGTGAATCGCTGCGGATTCGGGGCGGCTGCGCGATCTCAGGAGCCTGGGGGGCCCTTCTCCGAGGACGTGCGCGCGGCGGCGGGTCGTGCGGAGAGGTCTCTGCGGGGTGATTTTTCCCCAAGCAGTGCTTGCTCTGAGGGGGCCCCAGGGGGAAGGGGAGGAGGGCCCGGGGGAGGGGCAGGGGGCAGGAGGAGGCTGGGAGAGGGACAGGAGGAGGCGGGGACGCAGGAACAGGCGCGATCGGTAGCTCCAGGCCAGCAGGGCAAGAACTCCGCACACAGCGAGGGGAGGAGGGGGATAAACGTCAAGCAATGGCGAAGCGTCCTGGCTCGCCTATTGCCCTACCAGGCAAAGTTCTAAGAACCTTATGCGGTTTCCACAACATGTTCCTAGAACATTTCTGACGGAGTCTGTCTTGTTTTATCACATTGGGTTTGTGTTCTAAGAACATTGGTTTTGTTCTTAGAACATTTCGGAGTTCTAAGAACGGTACGTGGTAGGACTATAGGAATGCTGGGACGGTCGGCTCCTGCTCAAAAAAGAGAGAGACCCGAACCCCAGACGTCATTCCTTCTGGTGAATTCCCCAATCAGTGCTTGCACTGAAGGGGTCCTGGCGGAAATTGAAAGATTTGGCGAAAGTGTCCCGCCCATGTTGGTGGCCGGCTGGGTTTCCGGGTTCCCGGCTCCGGGTTCCCGGGTTCCGTGTCATGCGCGGAACCATTGGTTCGGTGGGTTCCGGGTTCCCGGATTCCTGGTCGATATCTCTTTATCGATCTCTTTATCGATCCCATTTCTAACCATCCACTGATTGGGGCTTTTCTCCGGCGTCATCGAAGTCATCGTGCGGCCTTTTACCGCACCGCGCTTCACGAGCCCCAAGAGTCAGGGGCAACGTTAAGGAGGAGGAGGAGGAGGAGGAGGAGGAGGAGGAGGAGGAGGAGGAGGAGGAGGAGGAGGAGGGAGGAAGAGGAGGAGGAGGAGGAGGAGGAGGAGGAGAGGAGGAGAGGAGGAGGGAAGGAGGAGGGAGGAAGAGGAGGAGGAGGAGGAAGGAGGGAGGAGAGGAGAGGAGGAGGAGGAGGAGGAGCGGGGGGGCGCGCCTCGACCCCAATCGCCCGTTCCTCGCCGATGGGGGGCCCGATGGCCCACGGCCGCCCAGGAGCATAAGTACGGATTTCGGCTCGGGGCCGGCCGCCAAGCTGTCGGCGACGCACCGCCGATGGAACCCAGAGATCCAGCGTATTGAAAAATCAAGACGGAGATTTTTCGATATATATATATATATATATATAAAAAAAAAAACTAAGGTTTTTCGATATTTTCGGCCTCCTGGGCGCCCTCACCAGGCCTCGGGACCGTGAACAAACGACTCAGGATGAAGGACCGGTCCCGGGGAATGGGGTCGAGGCTTCGGGGTACCCCGTATTGAAACGATCACGACATCGGACCTCTGGGAAGCTCGATGTTTCCCCCCCCCCCCTCAGCTGGTTCCGCCCCCTATCGTCCACCGCCTCACGACCTCCGCCAGGGCAAGCGCCAGAGGGGCCAGCGAGACGACGCGGACGGCGGCGCCGAGGAGGCGCTCACCTCCCCGGAGGAAGTGGCCGCACAGCAGCAGCAGGTGGACAGCCACATCAAGGACCTGGAGCGCCTCCTGGCCAGCTACGGGGAACTGCTGGATAGCGCGTTCCCCGGGGAGGACGCCACCACCACCACATCGCCGCCATCCCCTCCCCAGATCTCCGACGGTCTCTTTGCTTCGATTTCGATCCCAGCGCTCTGTCATCGATTTCGGCCTCTCGGGCCCGCTTTCGTGCCCGGCACGCATCTAGTCGGCAGCGAAAACTAGCTCCTTGGAAGCGGTCGGGCCCTCTTCGGAAAGCGCCAGGACGAGGGCAAATCCGTTCCGGAGCGTTCTGGAACGCTCCCAGAGCATTCCGGATCAGAAAGTTCTGAGAAGGCCGCGGCGCGAGGCATCCTCCAGCGCCGCCGCTGGCTCTCAGAGGTTCTCGATGAATCCTCACCCGAATTCATCCTCGTCCTGGCTTCGTCTTGCCTCTTGGGACTGCGGATTGAGGCTGCGGGTTGAAGACCTTTCTCCTCAGACTCGCCATGTCGTGGCCTCTGCACAGACGCGGGGGCCTCCCCAGAGCGCTTTGACCCCGTTCCAGGGAGCGCCTCTCTTGTCGCGGATCGTGCTTGAGGAGGGACACGTAGATTCTAGACACAGACACATGTACGAAGCTGTCCACGGAAATCTCATAAAACCCGACATCTACTTTCTTGCTTTAAAAAGAATTAGGATCTACCTCCCCCGCCAGACTGAACCGCGCCTTTTCCGCATTTCAACTTACATCTGATGATTCCGCCCCATCGTTCATCCGAAAGATGAAACTTTACCATCGGAGACAGGCCAGTATCGTCTCCCCCCTCATCCTCTTCAAAACATGCTATCCGCGCGCTTTCGTTTATCAGAAGTCAGCGGTTTTGATTTATCCCCTGCAAAAAATGAGACGACGTGCGCACGCGCACGTCGTCGCACGCGCATACCAAATCATCCAACGTCGTGAGAAATTCAAAATGGAGTGTCCCGAAAACGCAGGAAAAATGGCTTCGCAACACGACTGTTCAAACAAAAGCTCGCGCTCGGGCTCTTGCGAATTCTTAAGAAAACCATTTGCTTCCAACATTATCATCACTTTGTACTAAGCGGGTGTCTCGCGCGCGCATGTCGCAATCGCTCGGACGCCCTTGCGCGCGTGCTGTCGCGAGAAACCCTTGCAAAACATTAAACGGACTACATGCGCGCGTCGACGCGCGCGCATGCCGACATCCTGCAAAAACCCACGAGTCGTAGGAAGTTCAAAATCGAGTGTCCCGAACAGATATATCAGTTCATAGTTCTGCAACATCAATGTTCAAAACTGCCTGCGCTCGCGCTCCTGCGAACTCTCGAGAAAAACCATAGGTTTTCCAACATGTACATTCAATTCGGCCAAGCGGGCCCCTTGCGTCGCACGTGCAAACCACTCGAACAACCTTGCGCGCGCTGGGGCATACCGACGCGCGCGCATGTCAAACTTTTGCAAAAACCTGCATCACCGACGCGAGGACGCCGTCATCACCCTTGGCGTGATCAGCATCGGCGCCGTCACTGGCCTTCCTCCACATCCCTTATTAAACGGTCCCCTTCTAAAATACAGCCCCCCCTGCTTCGGCACACTAGTACTCCGGCCTCCTCTCCACGGGAGGCGCCTTAATATTCCAGTCCCCCCTCTAGGCAGGTTGAGCGTTACAGTTAAGCTGGTGGACATGATGAGGCTGTGGTTACACAGTGGTGATTGCATTGGTGATCAGTACTCTGTCGGTTTGCGATGTCGACAACAATTATGATCAATACGATGAACACCATGATCGTGCATGTGATGCTGTGGTGCAGGCGCCACTTCTATACATATATACGCCACCTTTGTATATATATATATATATATATCTGAAACATGAATATCAGTCCTTCTTAAAACATAGTTTGACACATACTTTCAGCTTATGAAGCATATTTCCAGTTAGTTAGGGGCCATATTTGAAGCTCGCATGCGGTCGAGTGCAGACTGGAAACGCATTTTCAGTTTATTAGGGACCATTCTGAAGGTCAATTTCAAACCTCGTTCCCAAAATGGCCATTCAAAAAGCGCCATAATTCCCCGGCCCCCCCTTCGCTTCGGTCACGCGAAACCGCCTTAACATTCAGGCATCCCCCCCTTTGGAAAAAAAGGCGCCTGAATATACCGGCCCTGGGGGCCGTTTAGTAAGGGATGTGGAGTACTATCGTCGTTGCCATCATTGTCACCAGTATCGCTACCATCATCATCGCGTCTGACGTTGTCGACGTTGCCATGGTACCGCGTCCGCCAAAGTCGCCGACTTGCACTGAAGTGCACGCTTTGGGAAGTGCCCAGCGGTCAGCGCAACCGCGGCCGCGTCGACCGCGCCAAACTAGCTGGCCGCTGCGCGCACGAGCATGGCGCGGGCTAGCGCGGCTGCAGAGATGCACCAGCCAATCCCAAGCACTCATCGCAATTGCCGCCGCATGGGTTTTGCAAACCATGTTGCGGGTGGGTAGGTGGGATGTGTGCGCGAGCGGTAGAGCTCAGAACACAGCGCGAACAGAAAGTAGTTGCACCACGTAGATTGCACCGCATATGTTGCACGACGTGTGTTGCACCACATATATCGTTCCACATAGACTGCACAACGTGGATTGCAAGAATCACGCTGTTTGGGGGCCACGCTGGCTAACAGTTGTGTCTTCATGGGACACCTGAGTTTTGAGAGCCTCGAGGCCCGGATGCGGCCCACCGGGGACGCCGAGAGCGGCGCGGGGCGGCCAGAAGGGGGGTGATGACTACGGGGGGGGATATCATGGCGGGGGCCATGATATCGCCCCAGATTTCACGGCGCCTCTTCTTAACTATTTCAATGCGTTTCCTGGCCCCCCCTCTTGGACGCCCCCACTCTTGGACGACCCCGAGCGGCGGCCGCGGACGGTTACCCGCCATGCCCACGTCAAATTGGCCCCCTGGATTTCTTTAGGAGCACCTTCTGGCCAGGATCTCGCATGGGATCCAACCGAGGCGATGACCCGCCCTCATCCTTAGTTACTCTTTCTCCTACCCTCCTCCTCCTCCTCCTCCTCCTCCTCCTCCTCCTCCTCCTCCTCATCATCATCGTCCTCCTCCTCCCTCCTCCTACCTTCCTTCTCCTCCTCCCTCCTCCTACCCTCCTTTTCCTCTTCCCTCCTCCGACCCTCCTCTTCCAGTCCTGCTCCTCCTCCTCCTCCTCCTTCTCCTCCTCTTTTTTTTTTTGGGGGGGGGGGGGCAGTGCGTCGAGCGGACTTTAACATTTGGGCTCGCAGCGTTCCTAACCTCCTCCTCCTCCTCCTCCTCTCCTCCTCCTCCTCCTCCTCTCTCCTCCTCCTCTTTCTCTCCTCCTCCTCCTCCTCCTCCTTCATCCTCCTCCTCCTCCTCCTCGTCCTCCTCCTCCTCCTCCTCCTCCTCCTCCTCCTCCTCCTCCTCCTCCTCCTCCTCCTACCCTCCCTTTTTTCCTCTTCCCTCCTCCGACCCTCCTCTTCCAGTCCTCCTCCTCCTCCTCCTCCTCCTCGTCCTCCTCCTCCTCCTTCTCCTCCCTCCTCCTCTCTTTTGTTTGGGGGGGGGCAGTGCGTCGAGCGGACTTTAAGATCTGGGCTCGCAGCGTTCCTAACCTCCTCCTCCGCTCCTCCTCCTTCTCCTCCTCCTCCTCCTCCTCCTCTTTCTCATCCTCTCTCCTCCTCCCTCCTCTCCTCCTCCTCCTCCTCCTCCTCCTCCTCCTCCTCCTCCTCTCCTCCTCCTCCTCCTCCTCCTCCTCTCGTCCTCCTCCTCCTCCTCCTCCTCCTCCTCATCGTCCTCCTCCTCCCTCCTCCTACGTTTCTCCTCCTCCTCCCTCCTCCTACCCTCCTTTTCCTCTTCCCTCCTCCGACCCTCCTCTTCCAGTCCTCCTTCTCCTCTTTTTTTTGGGGGTGCGGGGCAGTGCGTTGAGCGGACTTTCAGATCTGGGCTCGCAGCGTTCCTAACCTCCTCCTCCTCCTCCTTCTCATTATCCTTCCCCTCCTTCTTCTCCTCCGCCCTACCCAGTCTGCCTCTGGACACGGCTGTGTTGGGAGGTTGAGCTTTCCCCAGTCCCCAGTCTGCCTCTTGGCATGGCGGCGTGGGGATGAGCCTGCCCCGGCCTGCCTGTTGGGCTGAGCGGGGGCGTGGCTTTCTCCCGCCTGCCTCTGGAGATGGCCTGTGCTGAGGCGAGCCGTTCCCAGTCTGTTTTTTGGCACGGCTGTGGGAGGGAGCCTTCCCCAGTCAGCCTCCTGGCCTCGTGAGAGGGCTGTGCTGAGATGAGCCATCCCCAGTCTGTCACGTGATTCGGCTGCGCGGGGGGATTCTTGCCAAGATTGCCGTCTTGGCATGTGGTGATGTGCCATGCCCAGTCTGCCTTCTGATTTGACTTCGAGTGGGGGGCGGGCAGATTCCCTCGTTTGTTCGTCTTGATGTGGTTGTATGTGTTGGTGTGAACCTTCGTCAGCCAGCCTCTTGATACGTCTGTGCAGGTGTGAGCCGTCCACATTCTGCCCCGTGACCTTGCTGCGCAATGGCGTGAGCCGTCGCCAGTCTGCCTCTTGATACTGCTGCGCGGGGGTGGGACTCCCACAGCCTGCCTCTTGATACGGCTACATTGAGGTGAGCCTTCCCCAGTCTTCCTCTTGCTGGGCATGTTTGGGAACGAGCTATTTTTCCAGTCCGCCTCTTGATGTTGCAGTGTGGGAGTGAGCCATCCCCAGCCTACCTCCAGGCATTGCTGTGCGGGGGTGGCCTTGCTCCGCCTGCCTCTTGACGTGGCCGCGTGGGGGCGACTGTCGCGCTGCTTCTCTCTTTGTGCGGCCTTGTTGGGGCGTGCCTTTCCCAGTCTGCCTCTTGATATGGCTGTGTGGGGGGTGAGTCTTCCACGGTCTGCTTCTTGACATGGCTGTGTGTTGGTGATAAGCTCCCAGGTTGCCTCTTGGTTCGGCTATGTTCGGGGGCGGAGGAGGGGGGTGATGACTAGCGGGGAGGATATCATGGCGTGGGCCATGATATTTCCTTAGATTTCATGGCGCCTCTTCTTATTCCATTACGTCCCTGCCCCCCCCCTTGGCCGCGCACATGCCGCTGGCCATGATTTGCGCCCCCCCCTCTTGGACGCCCCCCTCTTGGCCGCCCCCGATATGTGGTGGCGTGGCTTTTCTTCCAGACTTCCTCTTACTGTGCTTGCGTGTGTGTGTGTGGGGGGGGGGTCGACAACCAATGTGCTTCTGCTCCAGCCGCGGCGAGCTGGACTTCAGGCGTTTGTTCTTGCTGGTTTGTGTACACGTGCCTCGAGGTTCGCGATATTTGTTTGCACTTCGAGCCTTTGTAAAAGCCCGAAGGCCGACCATTTGTTCCATGGTGTTTCAGGGTTCGTATCGGACGAGGCATGGACCTCCTGGACACAGCCTGGCGGCAATCCCTCCGGTCCTGCATAGCTTCTGTACATGGCCACGCGTGAGGTATCACCTGCAGCAGTTTGGCGGCAATGCCTGCGGTCCTGCATTCAGTCAGGTTTTCAATGCACGACTTGCGCGCGCGAGCGATAACTTTCCTTAGTAGGCGAGCGTGTACCACAGATCTGATGTGTTCCCACGCGCGCGTTTGCCAGGACCCCTTTTTAGCATGTTGCGATCACGCCGCGTCAGAGCACCTGCGCAAAGCGCAACCCTGACCAGTATTCGCGCATGTGGTTAGTAGTTCGATGTGTTCTGACATGCGCGCGCAGGGGGGGCCGAATCGCTTCTGTCAGCAACTGTATGCTTCCACACTTCCTCTGATTATCCTCCTCCGCCCCCTCCTCCTCATTCCTCCTCCTCCCCCTCCTCCTCCTCATCCTCCTCCTCCTCCCTCCTCCTCCACCTCCTCCTCCTCCTCCTCGTCCTCGTCCTCGTCCTCCTTCTCCTTCTCCTCCTCCTTCTCCTCCTCCTCCCCCTCCTCCTCCTCCCCCTCCTCCTCCTCATTCCCCTCCTGTCTCCGCTGGTATACTCGACGCGTCTTGCTCATCCGAGCTGTTTTTGTTGCAGCATCTTGGCTGACACGTTGCGAAGGCCTCACGGACAGGCCCGCCGACCCTGCAGTCGTGACCTCCCCAGGGACCCCCTCTTGTGACCCCCCCGGGACCCCCCAGGACCGGAGGGCCAAGAAACACCTCCTCCTCCTCCTCCTCCTCCTCCTCCTCCTCCCCCTCCTTCTCCCTTGTCTCCTCCTCCTCCTCCTCCTCCTCCTCCTCCTCCTCCTCTTCCTCCTTCCCCCCCTCCTCCCAGGGCTCGCGTTTTCTTGTGCCTACAGTATTTTCTGATCCGGGCCCCCATCCGCCCCAAGGCAGAGAAACGAAAAAGGGAAGGGAATCGACTTATAATTACGACGTTCTTTTTCCTCGTTCCTCAATTTCCTTGGGACTGGGCAACGACGACGACGACGACGACGACGACGACGACGACGGCGACGACGACGACGACGACGGCGGCATTGTCTCACACACGCCGAATGGTCGGCGGATTCCCCGCGCGCTTCATGAACATGCTCACTGGCATCGCCGCTTAATCCTTCGTCCAAGCCAGTGTTCCGCCATTCGCTCCACATCTTCTTTCGTGTACCGATTTGAGTCATTCGTCGAAACCACTACGCTGGCTTGCGGCAATTTGCAAGTGCGCCCAGTCTCCCCAAGAGCCGCTCGCGCCCTTCCTTGGCTCGCTCGCGCTGGTCCTCGCTCGGACTGCGATTGTGCTTGCCTTTTTCCGGGCCCCGTCTGAGAATGCGCGCCCCACGTCAGGTGAACGTTGAGGGCTGGAGCGCTGCGTGAGAAACAGATGATCTATATGTGTATCTGTGTATATATATACATATATATATATATATAGAAAAAGCAAAGGCAACAAAACATCTATACATACATATATATAACATATATATATAAATAAATAAGCACGGCCGCGCCCACCTGCCCGCCTGGCCCGCTCGCCGCGCTGCCTTTTCCCACCCCATTTGCGATCGTTCCCGGTCTGGCGTCCCCAGGGTCTGCCTGCGGACGCCACGCGGCGGCGCCTCCCGAGCTCCAAAAATAGGGCCTGTCCTCCCTCTACAGGAGGAAAATTCAAAAATAGTAAAAATAAATTAAATGCTCAGTGGACGATGTTTTGACAGTTGTTTTTCTGCTATATTGTTGATTTGTTGTACCATTTCTAGTTTTTCGTAAAACAAATCCTGTAGGGGGACACGCCCGACCTAGCCCTAGCTGTAAGTCGGGTCTGTCCCTGTACAGGAGGAATGTTCAAAAATAGTCCAAACATAGTCTGGGACTACGTTTTGATGTTTCAAATGATTCTGATGCAATTTTCGCATATTCTTAATTCTCCGCCCAAAGTCTGCCTGTACGGGGACATGCCCGACCTGAAGCTACCGTCGCTCAGATGTCCACCGAGAGACGTTCCCCTGGTCAGCGTGCGGGTCAGGGCTCAGCCGAACTGCTGCGCGATCGTGTTTTGCGTGGCGTCTGCGCCAGGGCGCCATCTCCGTAGCGTCCGAGCACGGCGGCTGTACGCGATCATGTGGCATGTTTTTGACACATGTAGTATCAGGCTCTGTTTTTGATCACATGTATTTCATCGCGCGCCCGACGAGACGCAATTCTTCCGAGACTACAACTCAATGTTTGGACATTTAACGTGTTACAGTTTCCCGTGTGGTAAAAATTACACCAGAGGAACAACCCAATCAGTGGATGGTTTGAGGAGATCGACCAGGAGCCTGGGAGCCCGGGAACCCAGAACCCACCGAAATCGGCTCGGAACAAATAACCAGGAACCCGGGAACCCGGAACCGGGAACCCGGGAACCCAGCCTGCTGCCAAAATCGGCGGGAACTTTCGCCAAATCTTTCAATTTCCGCTAGGAACCCTTCAGTGCAAGCACTGATTGGGGAACTTCCCTGTGCAGCCACGCTCCCTCCGAGGTACGGACCTTCAGAACGCAGTGCCTGGCGGTAACGCCGACGAGCTTGCATACGTACACAGGTGGGAGCGGCTTAACCCGAGCAGCTTTAAGCGGATGCTGAGAGTTCATCTGCCCACAGAGGTTCTGACGCACCGTTGTCAATGCAGAGGGCAGCCTGTCTCAAAGGTTGTGCAATCTGCCAGTATCCCCCTCTCCCCTCATCCCTCCATCTCCTGCCGGCGAGCCAAAGCTGCTGGCAGGGGTCGCGGCGGCCGAACACCGCCGGGAAGACCAGGACGCATCAAGCCCAAAAGCCTCCCTCTGATCTCCTCCTCTCTAGGTCGTACATGGCGAGATATTGAGACATGTGTGGGGGGTGCGAAAGCTTGACATTTAGATAGTGTCGGTCCCGCCGCCACGCACTTTCCTTGACACCTGTCCGCTTATGCCGCTGGGAAGCGATTACGAGGGCGTTGACGACGACGTTGGCGACAACGACGTTGGCGACGACGACGACGACGACGACGACGACGACGACCCCGTGGACCTGGGTCTCCAGAGTCCTTCGGAGGCCCAACAAAGACTCCCCCAAAACGCCCAGACGCATCGACCCTTCAGGTTCGCGCTTCGTCGATCGTCGGCGACGGCGTCGGTGTTGGCGCCAGCGGCTGCGACGGCGAGGACATCTCGCTGGGGATGGATCTGCCCCAGCGGCTCCTCGGGGGGCTGGCGCTGGGTCTGGCGGAGTCCGAGACCACCGCCGAGGTCGTCGCTCGTTGTCGTCGGCGTCAATGTCGTCGTCACCAGAGGAGGAGGAGGAGGAGGAGGAGGAGGAGGAGGAGGAGGAGGAGGAGGAGGGCCCGCTACAAGGCCGCAGGCGGTAGTGCTGGTTCCGCAGGCGCATGCCTCTCCTCGGCGCGGGCGGTCGCGGAGCTGAAGACACGTGGCGCTCGGCTACGTGCGAGGAGGAGGAGGAGGAGGAGGAGGAGGAGGAGGACGAGGACGAGGACGAGGAGGGGAAGGAGGAGGAGGACGAGGAGGGGAAGGAGGAGGGGGAGGAGGTGGAGGAGGAGGAGCATGATGATAAGGAGGACGAGGAGGGGAAGGAGGAGGAGGAGGAGGAGGAGGAGGAGATGGAGGGGGAGGTGAAGGAGCGGAGGGGGAGGATGAGGAGGAGGAATGCTGCTATGCTTTGGGCTCCTTCCAGGCCACCCTTGGGGGCCTCGTCGCCGCGGCTGGGTCCGCTCCGAGGTCCTGGCCGCAGCGTTCTCGGGACAACTCGGAGGAGGCGGATTCGGAGGAGCATGGAGACGCCTCGTCTCCGAGGGGGAGGAGGAGGAGGAGGAGGAGGAGGAGGAGGAGGAGGAGGAGGAGGAGCATGGAGAAGTTTCGTCTCCGAGGATAAGTCTCGTCTCCGAGGAGGAGGAGGAGGAGGAGGAGGAGGAGGGGGAGGAGGAATGTGGCTTCCGGGATCTGGTCTCGATTGACGGTCTCAGTGGCTGTACGGCCATATCGGGACTTCTCCGCCTTCTGCTCCTCTCGCCCCCCTTCTCCCCCCGAGGAAGAGGAAGGGGAGGGGGGGCTGGGGAGGAGAAGGAAGGAGGGAGCAGCAGAAGGAGGGGGACGGGGGGACGGTGGGAAGGGGGAGATGGGAAGCAGCAGCAGCAGGAGATGGACGACGAAGAACAAGAGGGGAGAAGCATCAGGAGAAGGAGGTGGGAAGGGAGAGGAAACTAGAGCCAAGCCCAGCACGCGCCACTGCTGCAGCAGTACGCCCTCCCGACCCAGCCTCCTCACCAGCCAATCCAAATAGACAGAGTGAGGGGGGCCCACCGGTCGGTCATTGTCCCTGGGTGTACGGCTGAAGTGGGGTTCCGTGGCCTGGATTATTGTTGTTGTTTTTTTGCTTGTTCGTTGAGTTCTCATGTCTAAAAATTGTGCATCCCCCCTTCGCGGTGCCCATCGTGTTTTTCAATTCAGCTGCTCCCTGTTTTTGCAAGGGAAATTCTTGAGGCTCAGACTGCGCCCGCAGCCCCCGATCTACAACAATTGCTCCTGTGCGATATTCCAATAACATGTGCTGTTGTGGGAGTATCGCACGGTTGCTGCTGCTGTGTTGTTGTTGGTTGTGTTGAGGGTGATGTTGTTGATGTTGTTGTTGTTGTTGGTGGTGGTGGTGGTGGCGGTGTTGTTGTGCTTGTTTTTGTTGGCGCTGTTGTCGTTGTCGTTGTCGTCGTTGTCGTTGTTGCCGCTGCTGTTGTTGTTGTTGTTGTTGTTGTTGTTGTTGTTGTTGTTGTTGTTGTTGTTTGCGGTGTTGCCGTTTGTTGTTGTTGGTAAGCTTGTTGATTTCTCATGTCTGAAGAGTAAATATTGTTGATCCCCCTTCCTGGCGCACGTTGTATTATTTGAGCTGATGTGCGCTTCCCGGGGCTCGCACTTTTTTCTAACAGGGAAAGTCTTGACGGTCAATTTGCGCTCCTGGCCGCCGAGTTACAACAACAACGGCTTCCGCTTGATACTTCCTCAAATGGTAATAAGGCATCAGGCTTTCGCTTGAGACGTCCTTGCAATTCTCTCAAGAATCGCGCTCTCGTCTGAGACATCCTCACAATTATTCAGATGCCGCTACTCGAATCTCAGGAATAGCTCTTTCGCTTTGGACCTCCTCACGATTTACTTGGGAGTCGCGCTCCCACTGAGCATTTCTTGGCGATCCAAGCAGGATTCACGCTTCAACGACCCGCCCGCTCGACCCGCCCGTCGGGGCCTGCCCGCCCGACCAGCCCGTTAGGGACTGCAGTCGCCTTTCGCTGCCCGTCGCCCGCCTGCGATGACCCTTGTTGCCCGTACGGTTTCCGCGGTCGCCTTCGCTCGCTGCCCTCCGTGGCCCTGTTGCTACCCTCAGTGGCCCCGTCGCTGCCCTTTGGGGTCCCGCATTACATGCCCGTCGTGGCCCCCGCTCGCACGCGCCCGTTGTGGCCCTGTATGCATGCCCTTCGTGGCTCCGCTGTCGCCCTTCGTGGCTCTCTCGCTGCCCTTCGTGGACCCTTTGTGGCGCCCCTCCTGCTACTCTCTCCCTCTCGTGCTCTATCCTCCTCTCGCCCCCTTGTCCCTTTCTTCCATCCGTCCTCTCATTCCCTGCCGTAGGTGCTGCATGAAGCACATGCCCCAAAAGGGTACGACCGCCGACGAAGACGGCTGGTATCGAGGGTTTGGGATCTACGTGTTGAAATGCCCGCGAGCAGGTAACAGCGAACAGGCTAACATTAAGTGTTGTTGTTGTTGGTGCTGTTGTTGTTATTGTTGTCAGTGTTGGGCTGTGCTGCTGTGTTGTTGAACTCTCACGGGTGAAGAATAAGCGTTGTTGATCCCCCTCCTGTAACAGATGTGTTTTTCAATTGAAGTGCCCTTCACGGGGCCCGCACTTTGTTTTTTCAGAGGGGAAGTCTTCCTCCTCAAACTATGCCCCTGGCCATCGGTTTACAACAACAGGGGTTCCCGCCTGATACTCCCTTGCAATGTATAGAAGAATCGCGGTCTCGCCTGGACTTCCTCATTGTTTATTTAGGGATCGCGCTCTCGCCAGAGACTTCCTGGCGAATTATGCAAAACTCACGTTCGCATAACATACTTGTGCTTTCTTTTGAAGTGCCTCTCCCAGGGCTCGCTGTGTTTTTACAGCGGAAAATCTTCCTATTCAAAGTGTGCCCTTGGCCCTCGGCTTGCAACGGCTCCCGACTGATAATTTCCTTGCAATGTATTGAGCCGCGCTCTGGCTAGGGACTTCCTCGCAAATTACAGAAGAACCGCGCTCTCGCCTGATACTTCCTCGCAAGTTATTCAGGCGTCGCGCTTTCGACATTCAGGAATCGCGCTGTCACTTGGGACTTCCTCGCAATTTGTTCAGGCGCCGCGCCCTCGACACTCAGGAATCACGCTCTCGCTTTGGATTTCCAGGCGAGATTTATTTTGACATTGCGTTGTCGGTCAAGGCTTTCTCGCGATTCGTGCAGGACGCACGCTTCAGCAACCCGCTCGCTCGACCTGGCCGCCTTTGTCCGCCTGTTAGGGTGTACCCGCCCGATCTGCCCGTCTGGTTCTGCCACGTGCTATCTGCTCCTAGCTTCCCTCCTGCTACTCTCTCTCGTGCTCCATCCCCCTCTCTCCCCCTTGTCCGTTCCTTCCATCCGTCCTCTCTTCCCCTGCCTTCCGTTTTGCAGGAAATGCACGTTGCAGGTAAGAAAGATACACCCCCAAGGGGATACGATCGAAGACGAAGGGGCCGGTATCAAGGGTGTGACACGCGAGCAGATAAGAGCGAACAGTCTTAAAATGATTGTTGGTGTCACTGGTGTTGATCTTGTTGCTGTTGTTGGTGTGGTTGTTTTGTTGTGTTTGCTGTTGTTGTGTGATGCTGTTGTTGTGGTTGTTGTTGTTATGGTGGTGGTGCTTGGTGTTGCTATTTTTTGGTTGGGTTCTTATGTCTCAAGAGTACTTATAGATGATGCCCCTGCGCGGTAACCGCTTTATGTTTCAGTTGAAGTTATTTATCCCATGGTTCGCCCCTAGCTCTTACAAGGGGAAGCAAGGTGTCACCAAAGTGGGTTGGTGGGCCCTGAACTACAACAACAACGGCTTCCGCCTGATACATCCTCACACTCTATTTCCAATTCGCGCTCTCGCGCTGGACGTCCTCACAATTTGCACAGGAATCGCGCTCTCGCGTGGGACCTTCTCGCAATGTATTCACACTGCGCGCCCTCGACACTCAGGAATCACTCTTTCGCTGTTGATTTCCGCACGGTAAATTCAGGAATCGCGCTATCGCTAGAAACTTCATCGCGATTCATGCAGGAATCACGCTTCATCAACCCGCCTGCTCGACCTGGCCGCTTGAGCCCGCTTTCCCGACCCGCCCGTTAGGGTCCATCCGCCCGATCTGCCCGTCTGGTTTTGCCACGTGGTATCTTCTCCTAGCCGCCCTCCTGATATTTGATGCTCCATCCTTCGCCCTCCCCCTTGTCCCTTCCTTTCATGCGTCCTCGCTTCCCCTGCCTTAGGGCTGTACGAAATGCACGTTGCAGGTGAGAGAGATATATACCCCCAGAGGGGTACGATCGAAGACGAAGGGGGCCGGTATCGAGGGTTAGGGATATACGTGTTGAATGGCCCGCGAGCAGATAAGAGCAAACAGTCTTAAACGTATTAATTGTATTGTTGTTGGTGGTGGCGCTCTTGTGTTATAGTGGTGTTATTGTTGTGAAGCTGGTGTTATGTTGGTGCTGGTGGTTTGGTGCTGGTGTTCGAGTTGTGGTTATGGTTGTGGTTGTAGTTGTCGTTGTGTTGTTTGGTAGTCGCTGGCAGTTGTTAGTTGTTCGGTGGAGTTTGTTATTCACTCGTTGCTTGTTGGTTGTTGCTGTTGGTTATTGTCGTCACCCTCTCCCGCGACATCCCCGCGAACCACCAGCGAATCACCCGCGACCCACCCCGCGCCCGCCCCCCCACTCTTATCCCCAACTGCGGGGTGCTACGTATTCCTTTCGCTACCAGCGGGCGCACTGTGGAAAGGCGAGGGCCTCGTGGACCTGCGTCGTGAAAGCTGCACTTCTATCAGACTAGCGGGAAGATTCCTGGTGGGCTGCCTCTCCCCTAAGGGCTGTCCAGCCCTGAGATCCTGGCGTTGCAATGTTTTCCCAGGGCGTGTTCGCTCCATTTTGGGGCTCGGGGCCCTGACAGATCGATCCGGCTCGAAAAATGATGCAGAGCACCCGGACCCCCGACGTCATGATCTTTTCGTCACGCGACCCCCAGAGGTCTGGACCTATTCCCCGGGACGGGTTTTTCACCTCGAGTCGTTTTTTGACGGTCCCGAGGGCCAGTGATGGCTCCCGGAGGCCGAAAATAGTGAAAAACCTCCCGTCGTGATTTTTTCCTAGCTCAAGGAGGTCTGGGGGTATCCAGACTTCGCGATGTCGCAATTTTTCCCGGAAAGGGCGCGGGCCCAGGGTTTTCTTTTAGTTGGTAAACCTGTCCCCGGTGCCTCAACTGAGGTGGGCCGGCGGAATCTCTCCCTAGTAAATATCGAGGTCGAGGTGGGCTGGCGGATTATTCTTTCCCTGATAAATATCTCGGTCGAGGTGGGCCGGCGGATTCAATTTTGAGGATGTCTCAGGCGAAACGCTTGTTTTTGAAATCCCGATCGATAAATCACAGGGTGCGGGCCACTCTTTCGTGTGTTGAGGATGTCTCGAGCGAAACGCTTGCTCCGCAGAGTTACTGAGGATGTCTCGAGCGAATCGCTTGTTTCGTAGAACTTGAGGGATCTGGGCGGCCCAGAGATTTGCCTTCTCCAGGTGCACGAACCCGTGTGTTTTTACGTATGCGCCTGTAGATTTGCCCTCTCCAGGTGCACGAATCCATGTGCTTTTACGAAACTCGCCGCCGTTCTCGACGCCGTCGTCGTCCTCGTCGCGCCGCCTCGGGGCGTCAATTCCAACCGTATAAACATTGCACTAGACGCGCCGCGCGCCATGCAACTGGTCTCGCGATGGAGTCGCTCGAGACGCTGCCAGTGAGTTTCTAACGGCACGTTCACATGTGGCTAATAGTCCGTTTATTATTATTATTAGTATTATTTTTTTGAAAACCAGTTTTTTTATATATATATATATATGTATAAAAAAAACTTGACGCCATTCGACGAGCTTCTTTTCGCTCACGAGGCAACCGACGAGGCGGCCAGCAAGGCTGCAAAGCAGGCGGCCAACGAGGCAGCAGCCAAGGCCAGCCACCAAGCAGCCCACCGATTTCCATTCAGTTGCGGTTCGGGTTCGCCCCCTCTTGCCCCGCCCCGCTTCGGAACCGAATCGGATCTTGAACTCGAGCGGGTTGAGAGCCCCGCACGTTTCGATTGCGACCATCTCAACGGCGAGTTATGCGTTCAGACAGCTCGGGCTTAAGATCCAAATGAGTTCGGCCAGGAATCGGAGACCACGGGCGAGTTGATCCACGACGCAATTGAGCACAGCACAGTTCAGCGCAGAATGGCAAATTCCAAGTCAGCGCTGCACGGCACAGCACAGCCCCTGGCACAGCACATCGCCATCGACACCTTCAGCATTGCAGATGCCCGTCGCCCAATATGGTGTCGTGAAAACGTTTCCATGCATTCGGTTCTATATGCGTTTCCACGACCACACCCCAACACGACCGCACCCCGGCACGACCACACCCCAGCGCGACCCCACCCCACCAGCACGACCCAACCCCAGCACGACCACACCCCAGCATTACCCCACCCCAGCACGACCCCACCCCAGCAAGACCATCACCCAGCACGACCACACCCCAGCACGACTTCACCACAGCACGACCACACCCCAGCACGACCGCGCCCCAGCACGACCACGCCCCAGCACGACCACGCCCCTGCACGATCACCCCCCAGCACGACTACCCCCCCAGCACGACCGCCCCCCAGCACGACCACCCTTCAGCACGATCACACCCCAGCACGACCACTCCCCAGCACGACCACGCCGCATTGGTGAAGTGGTTGCCTGTCGTCGTGGAATGTTTCGCGGGGTGTCTCGTGGACTCTTTCGCCGGGTGTCTCGTGGAATGTTTCCAGGAAAGCGTGGAATGTTTCCAGGAAGACGTTGAAAACGGTCGCCCGTGTCTCGTGGAATGTTTCGCGGGGTGTCTCGTGGAAGTGCCCGTCGCCCAATACAGTGTCGCGAAAACGTTTCCATGCATGCGGTTCTATATCCCTTTCCGGGTTCGTGGGTCCATCATGTTTTGCAGCGCCGGATCCCAGGGAGTGTGCCCGCACGGACGCTCGGGCAGCGCACTTCTTAGCATTGCCGGCACGCAGCAGCCGCCGCAGACGGCAGAGCACCCCGAGGCCCTAGCCAGCCGACGCAGCAGACCAGCCAGGGAGGGCGGGGGAAGCAGTCGACTCCAGCATAGACTTATGATGTTCCAACCTACTTTAGCCTGGACCACCAGAAAGAATTTCGAGCACCAGAAGAAAGTACCGAAACTCTAGGGTTTTCAAGCGTCGGGCAAAAGGAGGCGTAGCGGCTACATCCGCGTAGCGGCTGGAAGGGAAGGTTCGAGACATATTCGCGCGCCGCTAAAGGGAGGGCTAGAGTCATGCAGCGAAAATATGTGTGAATGCTCAGCCGTGTTTTTGTTTGGGTATGGCATTCATTCGGACCGCAGTGTTTAATGACGTCTGAGGCGAAACGCCCGAGTCGCTCCACCGAGAAGCCCCTTGGTGTGAGAAGGAGTGGTTACTCACGCGCGGACTATGGATGGACGGGGTGGGGGAGGATTGCCGATGAGGTGGCTTTGCTGAGACAGTTCGTCGACGTCCTCCTGGAGCACGTCGAGGCTCGGGAGCGGGTGGAATGGAGTGTTTGGATGTGGATGCCGTGCCTTGTTGAATTATGTATAGGTGCTTAGTCCGATGCTATGTGCAGAGAGAGGAAAGAGAGAGAACACAAACAAAAACATTACGTACACACGACGACAGGAATCGAGAAATAGAAACATGTGTGTATACATGTGTGTACCTATCTATATGCAGAGAGAGAGAGAGAGATGGGGGGGAATAAGCAAGAGGGGGAGAGGAGGAGCTGGGGAGGGAGGGGGAGTGAAGGGACGGCGGTGGGGAGGGACCGAGGGAGAGCGAGGGCACGGCAGTGAGGGAGGGGGAGGGCGGGGCGGATGACAGAGAGCGAGGGAAACGGAGGGGGGGAGGATTTCAGGGAGGGGGGGAGTAAGAGAGAGGGAGTGTGAGGCAGAAACAGAGACAGAGACAAATACATATGTACATATATAGAGAGAGAGGGAGAGGAAAAAAAAAGAAAGAGAAAGACAGAAGAGGGAGAGAGAGAGAGAGAGAGAGAAAATGGGAGATAGCTGTGAAGACCTCTGAGGGAGTGCCACAGAGACACTTCAGGGAGGCGATGGGGGCGGAGGAGGTGCGGCGGTGCTGCCCGACACTCCAGAACGGCGCGAGGGGTGGAGGGATGAAGCGAGGCACCCCGCCTGCTCCTTACCAACCTCATCGTTGTCTTGGCTTCCTCTGCCAATCATCTTGCTGCGCCTGCTCCTTCTACTGCCTCACCTCATCCTCATCCTGCTGCTCCTCTTCGTCCCATCTCCTCCCTAGTCCCTCCCGTCGCTTCCTTCCTCCATTGGTCCCTCTGCCCCTCCTGCTGGCCGCGATCTGACCAGGCTCCAGACTCCGATCCAGCCGTGGCGACGATGGCTCCCGGGAGGCAGACAGGCGGCGCGGGGAGGCGCGGGTGAGCAGGAGACTTGGTCTGGCAGGCGTGCGGCAGACCGCAGCGTAAGCGGGAGGCCACTTCTCCTGCCCTCCGCAGGGCTCCGGGGGGGGTGGCGCGGGGCCCGCGTTCCTCATCGCCCGAGCCAGCCCAACCCTGGCCGGGACAGGGGTGGGGTCGGGGATTTCTGGGTACCCAGGCCCTCTCGCGCTGTGGAAGAAGACAGCTCCGCCAGTTCTGGACCACGGCGTTTCGGTGCGGCACGCTGTCCTCAGGAAGACAGTCCTCGGGCCGGGAGGATGGGGTTGGGAGAAACGAGGAGATTACTACCCGCAACGAGGCGGTTGAAGGTATCGTTCATTGCATCTGGATGCTATTGCTCATGCCCGTCATCCTCCCAACCAATTCCTCCCAACACGATAACTGTTCTCCTCACGTCCACTTCCCGGTCCCCGCGCGTCCACGTCCGGAGCTTCTCCCGACCTCCTGCCCCCCTCGGAGCGGAGCGGCGAGCGGTCCGCTCGCAGGGCATACGTAGCGCGTCGCCGGAGCCGCCGCGGCGACATGACGAGCCTGTTCTCCACCACCACCACCGCCATAAGTTGGAGTGGGAGGGGGTCCTCCTCCTCCTCCTCCTCCACCCCCTTCCCCCTCCAACTTGTGGCGGTGGTGGTGGAAAACAGGCCCATCACGATTGCACATGTCTCGGCTTAGGATGTTCCAACCTACTCGAGCCTTGATCACCAGCAAGAGTTTCGAGCGCCATGGATTTGCTGGAAGTGAAGGGTGTTCATGCGTCGGGCCCTGGGAGGCGACATTCGTTCGACGCTTCGCCAGCGTGTCGGGTAGACACTGTTTTAATACTTTTCTGGATGCTCGAAATAATTGTTGGTAGTCCTTTAATACGATGGGTGGGGACAGCATAAGTCTCGGCTGCAATCGGCCGGCGGGATAAAAGGTTTCCTTGCCGGGGTTGCGCCTGCCCAGGCAAGCGCCATGAATCAGGAGCAACGACAAGGGTGGACACTGGCCGTTGACCCCCAGTCTTCCAGTTCCGGTGTTGCTAGAAGTACCCCTGGCCCAAGGTCCCCCCAGGATTCTCGGGGTGGCCCAGATGGCCTCCATGGCACCCCTCACGAGGCCCAGAGGGCCCCAGGGGTTCCAAAATGGAGCGAAAAGCTTGGGGCACTTTGGGCCAGGGGCACTTCTAGCAACACCCGACCAGTCATCACCGATCTGGGCATGGCCCCCCCATCCCGCCTGGGGCCGTGCAGCTCCGCTGTCGCGGGCCCATCGCTGTTCCATCATCGCTGTACCGCCGATTCCAGGTCGACGCTTCCGCCCGTGAGTCAGTCCCCCCCCAGCCAGCGCTACCCAAACTTGGGCGAAGCGAGCTATGCACATGCACCGATCCTGGCAAGGCCCCTCCTTGCCCCAGGATCGGTGCACACACCTTCCTGGCCAGGGTTGGAGGGCGTATGCACCGATCCTGGGCTCGGGATATGCCCGGCCAGAATCGGTGTATGTGCATAGTCCCCTTTCCTCTACCAACATATCCCCCCGCCCACGGTTGCTTCTGGGATGCTGCCGCGCAAGAAGCCCTTGGTCGGGTCTGCCGCGCAACGCCGTGGAGTGCACGGGTTACTCGAGAGATGTTGCGGTCCCCCTTCTTTCCTTTACCTCTTGGCGTGCGAAGAGCGGTATAACCCACACTTTTCCGCCGTCGGTTCGCCTGCCCCCCAAGTTGATACCCCCACCTGGCACCGCAGGGGTATAAACTTTGTAGCCGCCTGGGGGGCAGGCGCCCCCGACGGCGAAAAAGTTGATGCTATCTTGTTCTTCGTCCCCTACTAATTCGTCTTCTTCTTCAGCTCAAAACAAGACATACCCCCTCCCCTCTCACGGTTTCACCCCATGGTCATGGCAGATTCACCAGACCCCCGACGTCATTATTTTTGCATGACCCCCCCCCCAGAGGTCCGGATACTTTCCCCAGCGCTGATTTCTCATCCTGAGTCGTTTTTTGACGGTCGCCGAAAACCTTCCGTCGTGATTGTTTCGTGACTCGAGGTGGTCTGGGTGTACAGTGAGCGGCTCGAATAAGGAACACTTCTTTTTCAGAAGGGGCTCGGTCGTTCCTTAGGCTTGCATGCGTTGTTATCGCTCCTTATGCGCTATTGATGATTGGGTGTCGTTCCTTATGCGTTACTCCTTGGAGAAGGGGGGCTTCGTTCCTTACTCATCGCTCCTCAGGTCAGGCCGATGACTGTAGAGGCCTTGGCCCCGGCGCGGGCCCGACGCACAGCCCAGCGGCCGTGCGCCCCACACAGGGCAGGCAGAGGGCGAGGCCTCCTGCCGCCCGCCAGCAGGCAGGCGGCTCGGCAACCAGGCCGAGCAGCTCCTCTGCCGTCGACCTGCCCCGAGATCCTGACGCTGCAGCTTTCTGTCGCAACCCGAGGCAGGAAAAGCGCCCGAAGCATAAACCGTTGACGCTCCGCGCGGGCTGCTGGGATCCACGCTGGGCCCCCCCGGCGGCGCCTCCGGCGCAATCTCCTGGCGCGCTCCGCGAGCCAGGGAGGGGGGTCCAGCGTAGATCCAAGAGAATCCACGCGGAGCGCCAACGGTCTATGTTTAGGATGTCTTTCTTCTTCGAACCACGGGCGTTCTCGCTACACCTCGGACCCTCGCACCCTCACAGCTCGATCCGGCTCAAGCAAGAATGGAAAAGTTGGGGCCCTTGGGCCTGGGGCTCCGGTCGTGATTTTTTGCGACGTCGCATTTTTTCCCAACCATCCTGTGGTGTTGGGTCCTCGTTTTGAAGAGACGGTGCCCCGCGTCTCCCTCACTCCTCCTCCTCCTCCCGCTGCCTCCTCCCTCCGCCCTCCTCTCCCTCGTTGCCTCTGCTCACGGCGCACCCCTCACACGTTTCGTAGCCCCATAGGGAGCTCCACCTAAGGGCCCAGTGGCGCAGTTCGCATGCGTCTCCCCCACCCAGGACAGTGTTTCGTGGCCCCATAGGGAGCTCCACCGAGGGTCCCAGTGGCGCAGTTCGCATGCGTCTCCCCCACCCAGGACAGCTTTTCGTGGCCCCATAGGAAGCTCCACCGAAGTCCCAGTGGCGCAGTTCGCATGCGTCTCCCCCACCCAGGACAGCGTTTCGTGGCCCCATAGGGAGCTCCACCGAAGGCCCCAGTGGCGCAGTTCGCATGCGTCTCCCCCATCCAGGAGGACAACGTTTCGTGGCCTCATAGGAAGCTCCACCGAAGTCCCAGTGGCGCAGTTCGCATGCGTCTCCCCCGCCCAGGACAGCGTTTCGTGGCCCCATAGGGAACCCCACCGAGGGTCCCAGTGGCGCAGTTATCATGCGTCCCCCCCACCCAGGACAGCGTTTCGTGGCCCCATAGGGAGCTCCACCGAGGGTCCCAGTGGCGCAGTTCGCATGCGTCTCCCCCACCCAGGACAGCGTTTCGTGGCCCCATAGGGAGCCCCACCGAAGGCCACATTGGTGCAGTTCGCATGCGTCTCCCCCAACCAGGACAGCGTTTCGTGGCCCCATAGGGAGCTCCACCGAGGGTCCCAATGCCGCAGTTCGCATGCGTCTCCCCCACCCAGGACAGCGTTTCGTGGCCCCATAGAGAGCTCCACCGAGGGTCCCAGTGGCGCAGTTATCATGCGTCCCCCCACCCAGGACAGCGTTTCGTGGCCCCATAGGGAGCCCCACCGAGGGCCCCAGTGGCGCAGTTCGCATGCGTCTCCCCCACCCAGGACAGCGTTTCGTGGCCCCATAGGGAGCTCCACCGAGGTCCCAGTGGCGCAGTTCGCATGCGTCTCCCCCCCACCCAAAGGAAGTTCGCATGCGTCTCCCCCACCCAGGAAAACGTTCCGTGGCCCCATAGGGAGCTCCACCGAGGGTCCCAGTGGCGCAGTTCGCATGCGTCTCCCCCACCCAGGAAGGCCCCAGTGGCGCAGTTCGCATGCGTGTCCCCCACCCAGGCCAACCTTTCGTAGCCCCATAAGGAGCTCCACCGAAGTCCCAGTGGCGCAGTTCCCTTGCGTCTCCCCAATCCAGGACAGCGCTTCGTGGCCCCATATGGAGCTCCACCGAAAGCCACAACTGCACTCGCATGCGTCTCCCCCATCCAGGACAGCGTTTCGTTGCCCCACAGGGAGCTCAACCGAAAGCCCCAGTGCCGCAGTTCGCATGCGTCTCCACCCACCCAGGACAGCGCTTCGTGGCCCCATAGGGAGCTCCACCGAAGGCAACAGTTGCTGCAGTCACATGCGTCTCCCCTACCCAGGACAGCCTTTCGCGGCCCACAGGGATCTCCACCGATTGCGATACTCACAACGACGGTACTCACAACTGCATATGGTTGGGTCCTTCGCCAGGCTAATTCTACAGCGACGGATCTCAGGTCGTACGCTCGACCAAAAAGCAAACGACGCCACCCCACCTGCGGCCCTCCATGTTGTGCTACGGCCCATCAGGGGCCGCAGCGCACATACCACGCAAAAGCCCGAGCCAGAGGTCGTGGTGGATGCTGCGGCCCGTGGGGCCGTAGGTTGGGGTGGTGTCGTTTGGTTCCTGGTCCAGCCCAGGCCTCGACCCCGACTCCGACTCCCCAGACCCCCGACTCCGACTCCCCGACGTCATGGCGCGACCGACCCGCAGAGGTCCGGACCCACTCCCCGGACCGGCTTTTCATCCTGAGTCGTGTTTTTGACGGTCGCTAGGGCCGGTAAGGGCCCCCTGCAGGGACCGAAAATAGCGAAAGACTTCCCGTCGCGAGTTTTTCATGACCCGAGAGGGTCCCCTGCCCGCCGTGGCCACTCCAGCGGACAGGCCCCGACACATCCGCCGCACCCGTGGGTCTGGATTTGCCCTGGGGACCTCGCTTTCCCGCACGTTTCTGGGGGAGTCTGGAGGCTCGGCGCGTCGCCGGTGGGTCTGTTCTGGTCTGCTTCGTGGGTGCAGAACTCCTCCTCTTCCTCCTCCTCCTCCTCCTCCTCCTCCTCCTCCTCCTCCTCCTCGTTCTCTTCCTCGTCCTCGTCCTCCTCCTCGTCCTCCCCTTCCTCGTTCTGATTTTACGCCTCCTTCGAGCTTCCTCCTTTTCCTCCTCCTCCTCCTCCTCCTTCTCCTCCTCATTCGAGAGGAGGAGGAGGATCTGAAAAAAATGCAAATATTGGAGAAACGGCGGAACGGCGAGAAGGGCCATGGAGCCAGAGGAAGAGGCATTTGAGGAGGAGGAGGAGGAGGAGGAGGAGGAGGAGGAAGAGGAGGAAGAGGAGGATGAGGAGGAGGAAAAGGGGGAGGAAAAGGAGGAGGAGGAGGAGGAGGAGGAGGAGGAGGAGGAGGGAACGAGGAGGCTCAGGAGGAGACAGGGGGACGGGCAGGAGGAGGGTGGACGGGGAGGAGGAAGAGGGAGGAGGACGGAGATGGATCTGCCCCAACGGCGCCTCTCGCTGCACTGCCGAGAAGCAGCCCTGCCTGGCCCCCTGTCTGGGCAGGGCGGCGCCCGGCCACCCGCGCCTGCCCGCCAAGGTCAAACCCTACGGCGTGCTCGGGGTGCCCGAAGGCCGCTCCGAGCCGAAGCCGCTGGCGCCCCTCGAGGCGGATGTGAGGGGGGTGGGGGGTCACGCGAGCCCCTCCTGCGAGGATAGCTCGCGTGCCGGAAGCCTTTCCGCCGCTCCTGTCAGTCGGAGCTCCTTTCTTAAGATTGCAGGCTACCCAGCCATCCTTTCAAGCGTGCTTGCAAGCACCCCCCCCAGAGGCGTTTCACGCGCTGTGGACTGCTCCGCCCGCTATCCGGGTTTTAGACGCCACAATTGGGGGGGGTCACGCGAGCCCCTCCTGCGAGGAGAGCTCATCCCCCCCTCCGGTCGTCTGCACGTAGAACACATGCACACGTCAAGGCATCATGTTCTGAGAAAAATCTGGGAGCACACTGTTCTGTTGGCCTTGGGACTTGCAGGGTTGCTGGAGGGCACCGCGGGGCACTTGCTGGAAAATCAACCAAATTTCTTATCCGTAAGGGCTTCGCCCCCTGCCGCCAGCCCCCTTTCGGAGAATGGGCCATGAGGCTTTGGCTTCACCGTGAAGCAGCGTCGGAACTTCATGCGCGAACGCGTTGCAATTGACGACGGCAATTCTTGTCGTGTGAGCCTGACCCCGCCGATCTGCGTGAGAGGTGATCTGAGTTTCAGAAATGTGGCAAATCTCCCGTGTTTTTGGACCCTGACCCCGCCGATCTGTGTGAGGGGTGCCACCGAATTTTAAAACATGTGGCAAATCCCATGTGTCTTTGGACCCTGACCCTATCGATCCGCGTGAGGGGTGCCACCGGATTTCAGAAATGTTGAGAATCCCTTGGGTTTTCTGACCCTGACCCCGCCGATCTGCGTGAGGGGTGCCACCGAATTTCAGACATGTAGCACATCCCTTTACTTTTTGGACCCTGACCCCGCCGATCTGCGTGAGGGGTGCCAGCGAACTTTAGAAATGTAGCAAATCCGCTATGTTTTTGGACCCTGACCCCGCCGATCGATCTGCGTGAGGGGTGCCACCGGATTTCAGAAATGTGGCAAATCCAATGTGTTTTTGGACCCTGACCCCGCCGATCTGCGTGAGGGGTGCCGTCGGATTTCAGACATGTTGAGAGTCCCATGTGTTTTTGAACCCTGACCCCGCCGATCTGCGTGAGGGGTGTGAATTTTGCCGGGTCCGGGATTCAAGACGCTGGACGTTTCGTTTGTATTCGAATAAAAAGAGTAAGGCCCCTTCGGCCCCCGCGGGGGCCCCCTGCGGGAAATTCCTTCGGGGTCCGCTTGATTTTTTTGCATTCCCTTGGATTCCTTTGGTTTCCTAAGGATTCCTTTGGATTCCTCTGGATCCCCAGTGCTCGGGGTCCAAGGCCTCGGGCGGAGGGTTCAGGGCTCAGGGTTTGGAGCGTAGAGCCCAAGGCTGAGGGCTGAGGACACGAGGCCCTGGGCTCAGGGCCCAGGGCGCAGGTCCCAGGGGGTCAGGGCTCAGGATCCTTCAGAATCCCTCGGCATCCTCAGAGTCCTTCAAAATCTTTGAGAATCCTTCCGGATCCCTCAGGGCCCTTGAGGATCCCTCACGATCCCCGAAGATCTTCAGAATCCCTCAGGATCCTCAGACTCCCTCAGAATCTTCAGAATCGTTCAGAACCCGCCAGGATCTTTCAGGATCCTCAGAATCCCTCTGGATCCTTTTTAGGATCCCGAGGATCCCTCGATCACAAGCCCTCAGGATCTTCAGAATCCATCAGAATCCCCCAGAATCCCTCAGGATCCTCAGAGTCTTCAGAAACCGTCAGAAACCTTCAGGATCCTTCCGGATCCTTGATAATCCCTCAGGATCTCTGCGGATCTTCAAAATCCTTCAGAAACTTCTGAATCCCTCCGGATCTTCAGAATCCGTCAGCATCCCTCAGAATCTTCAGAACCCCTCAGGATCCTCGAGAACCCATCAGAATCTTCAGAATCCGCCAGAATCCCTCAGCATCCTCCTTCAGGACCCTTGAGAATCCTTCAGAATCCTCCAGAATCCTCCAGAAGCCCCAGAATCTTGCACAACCCTTCAGGATCTTCAGAATCCTTCAGGACCCTTGAGAATCCTTTAGAATCCGTCAAACTCAAAAGAATCCTTCACAATCCCTTAGGATCGTCAGAATCCTTCAGAATCATTCAGGGTCTTCAGAACCCTTAAGAATCCGTCAGGTTCCTAAGAATCCTTGGGAATCCTTCAGGATCACCAGAACCCATCGGAATCCAAAAGGATCCTTCCGGATCCTTCCGAATCCTTCAGAACCCATCAGAATCTTCAGCATCCGTCAGCATCCTGCAGGATCCTCCATACTCCTTCAGTATCCTTCAGCCGGAATCCCTCTGGATCTTCAGAACCCTTCAGGATCTTCAGAATCCGCCAGATTCCATTATAATACGTCAGGATCCTCGGGATCCTTCAGAATCTTCAGAATCCAAAGCAATCCCACAGGATTCTCAGAATCTTTCAGAATCCGTCAGAATGTGTCAGAATCCTTCAGAATCCGTCAGGATCCCCAGAATCTCCCAGAATCCATCGGGATCTT